TTCATATCTTATTTCATTTTCGCCTAAAGGTGACTTAAGGCATTCGTCTCTTTGCACTTTAATACGCATTAAACGACAGCTTGTAAATAACTGTAATATACTTATACCGTAATAGCCTTTTTGTGAAGCCACCAATATTACTTTAAAGGACTTATTATTCTGATATCCTAGAAATATATGTAACAGGTTTTAGTGACTTTTCGCCATTAGACGTAGATATCGGAAATTGTATTAAATATTTAATAAAAGAGATTTCTTGAATAGTATGAGATTTAAAGTCGACTTTTTCATATCCAATCCCGGACCGTTCATTAGTTTGCCTATGCACAGATCGATAAATAGACAGAAGGCACACATGCACGCAATCAATTGCAACAGCTAAGGATTATCTACAGCTAGCTTATGCGATCTTCTCGATACCTCTATATATATATATATATATATCAAATATTTGATAAATTGATTGAATACTCGTGTAATATCTCTTGAATGATTATAGTGAATTCAAAGAGCAAAACATAACTTTTTTCAACTATTCGCGGGCCACGGGTTAGACAGACAGTTCTAATCTAAAACGATTACAATCTGATTTTATTTTAGATGGACTTTGATGCTATATAGAAATTCATTAAAAGATTGATTAACTATGAGTTACTATACAAATCTTCGTATAATGTGTGATAAAATAATAAATATAACATATGTTCCGTCGCAGTGTGAGGTTTATATATCGGTCTTAAACGTTCTCTTCATAAGATAAATTAATATGATAAAAATGATTCGAGTAAATTAGCTTAGTTAAAAGCAAAATATAATTACAATTACAATTATATTGAAATTGGTTGATTAAAAAATTTTAAACGATTTTATCTGAATAAATTGATCACTTACTAGAGTATGATTAAATCCGATGAAAAATTCAAGCTTAGCATTCACTTAGCTTAGTTAAGTAAGCACAATTTAACAAATTACTTAATACATACCCGGGACGATTATGATACGAATTCATGTGGGTTTTAGAGCGTACGAATCTTCGAAACGAAATGTGTCAACAATGCATGGCATACCGACAACCCTTAGTCTGCAATTGCCAGGTAAAAAATTTTTCATTGTTTTGAAAATAACGACCTTATTGAGTTATATATTATTTCAATCAATGTAATGTTTTTTTTTTTTTTTTTCTTTTTAAAGAATTCATTACTCCTCTGTCAAAATTTGCAAGAATTCTAATCGATTTTCCAAAGAAATCGTAATAAGTAAAAAGTAAGCATTTGCTCTCCTTTGTGCGAAGGTTTTTCAATAATCTTACATTAAAATCTTCTAAAAATAAATAGAAAATAAAATTTCTATTCAGAAAAACAATATTTATATATAGTATATACACATAAAAATAAATAAACAAATGCTTCATAAAGTCCAATAAAGGAATACGATGCATGACACCTAAATAGTATGAGTAAATATTTTTATATACACACACAATCACTATTACACCATGGATTTATGTAAATATTTTTATATTGTTTTGCAAAACCTTGCAAATCTCCTTTAGGTCAATGGTCACATGGGTACAGCGAAGAATTAATATTTTTGTTAATGTTCCATGCCTTTGTCACGTTACAGTCATATAACAAATAAGAACAGAACGGAAAAATTTCATACATCTTAGCGAAGGAAACTTTATTTTCCGTTATCCGTCAATAGATTGGATGAATAACACGTTTGATATAATCAATATATATATATATATATATAACATTAGTTAGATAGATTGTAACTTGCAATTGTCACTCATTGTGAATTTAAGCTATGGCTGCACTTATCTAGATATCTCACTTTGTCCTGATAGTCGTAAAAGTTCCCTAAAAAATATCCCACATTCATGGATAGTCAGCCAGATGAATTGATATGATTAAATCGGCTCCAAAAACCTTTACTAAATGACGATATGTATGCACAATGGGGAGGCCGCACAAACATGGTAATATATAGACACAAAATCTCAAGTTATCCGTTGATCATATTAGCATTTAATTTTTTTCATATATTTAGGGTAACAAGGTTATCGCCCTAACACGAATACAATTTTCGTGATGAAATCGTTACAGCCCTTGCGGCCATAACACTTATAATTCAATTTGCTTAATCATTCAGTTTTGTACTCTGAAAACTGATACCACAGATCGTTAACTAAATAATGAATGACTCTCCAATAACAATAACATGCACTGTACTGCACTGTATTTAAACACTAAACAGATTGCATTATAATTAATTGCGTTTCAGTTAGATTTCATTGCATGCACTAACACACACTAAACGGAATAAAAGTTAATTGTAACAAGGGTGACTATGTAGCAAATTAAAATATATATATATATCTATTATTAAGGTGTAGCTGACGGATTTCATGATAAAAGGGAAAATTAATTATTGTAATGGTTGAATATTTTAAGCGCCACACAATATTATAACACACGCTACACAATTAAAGCGAACTTTCTTTTTCCAGTTAATATACAAAATGAAAAATATTTAAAAATGATGTTGGACATGAACAATATTGCAATTGATTTATAGCAGCATTCTGTTATTAACAAATTTATCTCTTTTCTTTTTTTTTTTTTTTTTCTCTCATATCAATTTATGTCATTTGAAAAAATATGTCGCATAAAATATTGATAAAAGTGTATCATGATGTTTCTTACATCAAACATTCTTAATCAGGTATGAGTCGACTTAATCATAACTATCATCATGTTCATACAATCAATCAAAACCATGAAATTGTAATTTTTTATATTCACTTTCGTACACATGTCGCAATGTATTATTAGCAGAGGTATATGATGTTGCGGTTAAAATGCTTTCCTTTGCTTTTGTTAATTTTCTTCTTTTTTTTTTCATTTCCTTATAGTAAACATATTTGGTCCAACATTGAAATATACATGCATGCATGTATGAGCGAAATTTTTAATAAATTTTTTTCTTTTCCATATTACATCCATTATCGAGTGATACGAGTCTATCAATATTATCTATTGTTCCATTTATAATTACGATTGGTGGGGAACTCCTACATATATATTTCCCCCCATAATCGGAATATTCTGTTAGTTTTGCTTTGAAATGTTTACACGTATACACACATACATACATACACACACACACACACATGCAATTAAAAATTTTTACCATGTACCATTTCTTGTGAGTCGCGCGATCTTCTCAATAAAAGTAAAGCTATGACTTTAGTTTCGTTTGAAATTTTCATCTTAAAATTTTGAATTTTATGTGCGCGATGGACGCTACAAGTTAGACTTTTTGGACAAGCTTCTTAAATAGAAATGGGCCTTATCTTTCTAGATGACTTTCAATGTTGTTGTTATTGTTGTTGTTGTTGTTAGTCAAGTATTTCACACATCCAATTTATGAATATCAAATCTTGCTTTAAATAATGTTTTATTTAGTTCTCGTATATTGGAAGATGAAATCTTAAAGAATCTGACCTAAAGAGTGCCCCGGTAAGGTTCAACTGAGAGCAAAGTCAGAGCAAAGTTGTTCTTTTAATTTAAAAAAAAAAAAAACAACCCAACAAGCCGAACATGGCCTCATCGGTATTTCCTTACTCACTGACATCTATTTTGATTTTTGAAGTTGAATACACTTTCCCAATAGTATAATGACAAATATTAAAAACATGCATTCTGGGGCCTGTATTGAGATACATTCTTGATTAGCTTGAGATTAAATAATTGACTTAGTCCGCATGTATTGTTGGCATTGTCGAAGAACACGTTCACAGACGTGGATGCTACATCATTCAAATTTTAAAGTCAATTGCTATTCATTTCATTTTATATGATTTTAATTCACTCACGTCATTTTACTTTGCATGATAAACTTGATCTTATCGTTATGAATTCATTGTATAATATATATATATATATATATATATAACGGTTAAAATATGTTATTCGAACTGCCTTTACAAAATATATCTAAACAAATTCCGGATATCATAATTAATATAAAAAAAAAAAAAAACACGACAAAAAATTGTAGCGTTCGTGAACGTGTTAAGGAAAAAATTGCGGAGAATCTCGAAAAAAGACTGCGTATCGTATTTTTGATTTATAACAAATATTGGCTGAATATTTCGTACAAGCTATGTAAACAAGGAAGAGAGAAAAAAAGAAAAAAAAAACATTATTATGCAATCTTTTTTTTCATAGATTCGCAAAAATGGCGCACATGTGCTTTTCATTCTTCACCCTTTTTGTGTTTTGTCCAAAAAATGCTCATAAGTCGATATCATCCACCAATCCAACCAAGTCCCTTATATTTGATGTAAAGAAAATATTAAAAAAATTTTTGCATCATTGTACATACGCACAATAAGGAATATGTTGAATAAGATGTTGATATGGATCGATGTTCATCGTTTTGTCTGCCAACACTATGCCTTTATGTCACAAACGCTAGGACGGCATTAACATGTTCTCGTCTTTAACTGGCTTGTATATTAAAATGAATAAAGGCAACAGCATGCATTTAGGTTTTTTTTTTGTTTTTTTTTTTTTTTTGTTGTTTTTTTTGTTTCTCTTTACGTGCGGCATAAGGTGGAGGTTGCACTTTGTGAGATTATTCATTCAACTAAATGAATTCACTCAGCTCAGACGTGTTAGAACGAACTACTTTCTTCTATTTTTTTTAAAAAACAAAAAAAATATATATATATAAAAAAAATTAAATATAAACTAAGCGAATAAATAAAAGTGAAATAAGTAAAAAAATTTTCGGTAAAGCATTTATTAATAAATCAATTGAAAACAAAAGCAACAGCATATTTATACTTTATAAATAATTTGAGAAATATTCGTCATAGATGTGTAGAAAAATTTAAGTACAAGAAAAATTTTATTGAAAAGAATTATTTCAAGCTCCGAAATAAATCAAATAAATCAAAGAAACAGTGAACAATTTAAAAGCAAAATAAAAAAAAGTATAACATATATATTTTTATAAAAAAAAAAAACAAGAAAAAAAAAAGAAAGAAAAAAGAAAAGAAAATCTTGTGAAATCATTGTTCTTAAATCGTATAATGGCCCCAACAATTGTGGACAATGCTATCGTAACCGAAAGTGAATTTATTAATAATTCCAAAAAGATCGACAATTTTAGTAAAAACAATTTTTGTGGTAACATTAGCGGTGACAACGCTCAAGCTTCATCTGAAACCGTCAACGATTTTGATTGTGTTGATGCTCAGTTCAAGCCGCAACATTATATATCATTAGATAATCATGAAAATTCAAGTGATGGAATTGATATTCAACAATTGCCCTGGGAAGCTCCCGGCAAACAGGGTCTCTACGATCCCCAAAACGAACATGAAGCCTGCGGCGTTGGCTTCATTGTCGCCATCGATGGCAAACGCTCTCACAAGGTAAGCCTAAGCAGTTTTCCATAATTTTTCTTTTTTCTTCTTTTTTATACTCAAACGATCTGTCTATTTATGTGTCCGTTTCACGCTCATTCCATTTGGTTGCGTTGAACTTTACTTGACTTTGAATTGAAGACAATTTTCTTAAAGCTTTTTCTACGATCGCCCCGATAATGAAGACCGTGGCAATTATATGTACATTGCTCCAATATATGTCAGTGGAGGAATAGTAAGAGTCGAGAAAAATATTGCGACTATATAGGGCTGTGTAGGACGCATGATCGATATTAAGGTGACTGTACAATGTCATTTAGCGACACACTTTAGCCCGAGTAGAGTCCGCATACGGTTGCATACGATTGATAGAAGAACTGAAAGCGGACGGCCATAGGTTGGATTATCACTCTTCTTCGTTCTTTCGGCTCGCTTTCTATGCGAGGAAACAAATCACTGAAGAAAAAGAAGAATATTTCAAGCAACGCCGACATAGATTCTTGATACGGACTTTAAGTTGTCTTTAGTCACAAAAAAACTTGCCCCCACTCCGTTAAAGCTGTAAAATAAGACCTTACATGATGTTACACGAAAAAGAGCCATTAGGTGGGAGATTTATGCTAGAATGTAATAGGCATTGGCGACCGTTATCGCGCGATATTGATCGACCTCTTTTTAATACAGCTTTGTTGCTAATGAATGAATGTACTAAGCATGCCGTCGTGATAAGTGCTTGCTTTATCGGCAGCAAAAGAACCAAGCCATTGAAAAGGGTTTACAAGGGATGACGAGTGACCTTAACGTGAAAACTCCTACATATTCGTGCGTCGGTACTTATGTATTTATGTAGTGTATATTTATTCTCTATCCGATATGAAGGTCGAATTGAATTTCAAATTTTGTACAAAATGAATAATAATAATTTTTTTTTTTCTCATTCCTCCTTCCTTCCCATTTCTAAGATTCTTCGTGATGCCCAGACCCTCTCAGAACGGATGAATCATCGTGGCGCCTGTGCCTGTGATAATGACACTGGCGACGGTGCTGGTGTTTTGGCTTCTATACCCCATGGATTATATGTGAAGGCTCTGTAAGTTCTCTTCTCTCTAACTATAAACACAATAATTTCTTTATTCTTTTATTATGCTTACTATTATTTGAAAAGTTTTTTAATATCGTAAACAAAGAAAGCCAGTCAAGCAATCAGTCAAAGCAGTTTTCCCATTTCATATTAATATTCTTTTTTTGGCAAATAGACAAAATATTTGTTATTTATTTATTTATTTTAATTTTTTTTTTCTTTTTTATTGCATTTTTGTTGTTTTATTTGTATACATATATAAAACATTATTTATAGAATCTATTTGCGTCATTCTAAGTTATTAAATGTGTTATCTTGTAGACCTTATTATGTTATTAAAATTTTTTAACAATATAGTTATACAATAGCTATATACAATAGCTATATATATATATATATATATATGAGAAATGATATCTTAACTTCGAAAACTAATTTAACGAAATTAAAGGCAGACTGTATGTAGACAAAATTTTACATACATACGAGAGTATGTTTTTGTGATCGTTTTCTATTTAATTATAATTTATGCATTTATAAATTTTATTTATAAATTTTAGTTTTTTGTTTTTTTCACATGCAATGCACGCGACCAGACAACCAATTTTTTTTTATTGATTTGATAAGTTGGATTTGTCTAACTTATGTATTTTGAGAGTTTGTAATATTTCGAGATTTGTTTCCATATTCCGTTGGCCAATATAATGGAATCATTCGATTCGTTTGCCTCTGCCTACGTGACAAATGTTAAATAACTTAAAAGCGACATAATAACAATAACAGATACATTCATACATTCTTTAGATTTTTGAGTTAAGTTATTTTTATAATTAACGTCATATATAAACGCATAAGCATTACCATTACCATCATATAGTCTGTATGTGTATATTAAAGTTTATTGTTCAAGTTCATTGCCATCCCTATAGATCTATAGTAGCGAATTAGTTATTATATAATAATTATTTTCTATTATGTCATCTTCACCTACTGCAATGACAATAAGTCCTTTACTACATATTCGCTATCGCCTGTCTATTTTTCGTTTTCCGAACTTCTCTCAAGTCGATCCATTCATTCAAGAAAAGAAATACGTAGAACAACTAAAACAATAATAAAAATTTTAAAATTAAAAAAAATAATAAAAAATAAAAACCAATTCCATTATATGCCGTATTATTAGAGCAGAGTATGATGCACTTTAAAGATGCGAACGTAATAGATCCATTTATAGAAGCATAGTACAGTTCTAGTTGGTCATCGCGCGTCATTGCATTCAGCTAAGGAGTACACAATTTTTGTTTTTAACAATTTCTCAATAGTTGATGTTTTCAATGTTCGAAGAGTTAAAACTTAATTGGACAACATTTTACTTACATATTTTTCAGATCTTTGCAAGGCATTAATTTGCCGGATTCGGGCTATTATGCCACAGGTATTTTCTATTTAGATCAGCAAACTCATGGCGAGGCTGAGCAGGAGTTTAATAATTTGGCAGCAAGTTTGGGTTTGGAAGTATTGACTTGGCGTGATGTACCCTATAATTCGAATGCTATTGGTGCAGTCGCCCGCAAATCGGAACCGTTATCGCGTCAAGTATTTGTGGTTCGTCCTATGGACATGGATGAGAAGACATTCGATCGTAACATTTTTGTTTTGCGTAAGCGTGCTACACATGAGTTGGCTAAGGAGGGCCGACGTTTTTATATTTGTTCCCTTTCTTCCAAGACTGTGGTCTATAAAGGCCTCTTCACCTCGGATCAACTATGGGACTACTATACGGACCTAAAGGATGCCAATTTCGAAACTTACATGGCTTTGGTGCATACCCGCTTCTCTACGAATACGTTCCCGTCGTGGGAGAGGGCTCATCCATTACGTGTTTTAGCTCACAATGGCGAAATAAATACTTTACGCGGCAACGTAAATCTGATGAAAGGTCGTGAAGGTGTTATGCAAAGCGAACTATTTGGTGAAACTTTGAAAAAATTATATCCTGTCGTTGAGCCCAACTTATCAGATTCGGGTTCGTTTGATTGCGTTTTGGAATTTCTTACCATTGCTGGTGAACGCACCTTACCTGAAGCCGTAATGACTATGGTTCCGGAGGCCTGGCAAAATGATAAGACTATGCCACAAGAAAAACGAGATTTTTATCAATGGGCATCTTGCGTAATGGAGCCTTGGGATGGTCCTGCGCTAATTTCTTTCACTGATGGTCGCTATATTGGCGCAGTCCTTGATCGTAATGGGTTACGTCCATCGCGTTTCTATGTCACCACTGAAAATATATTAGTAATGGCTTCAGAAGTTGGTGTTTATGATGTCGATCCTTCGCAGGTTACGCTTAAGAGTCGTCTAAAGCCAGGACGCATGTTATTAGTCGATACTAAAGAGAAGAAATTAATACAAGATATTGAATTGAAATCGAAAATAGCTAAATCTCGTCCTCATTCCGAATGGCTTCAGCAAAAGGTGAGTGAAGCTTGCACGCGATTTATTGACTTAATTCTAATTTCTATGACTTAAATTTGATGTTATTTTAAGGAAAGAAATTAAGCTTTCGAAAAAGTATTAAACAAGTTAATTTGAATTTTATCTCTTTTGAAAAACTAACAAAACCAATAATCTCGGGGTGTGTATAAAAAGATGGTGAGTTTATAATAGGTTTCAATATGTTTGCAACTTCTTTAAAAGTTGCTAGTTTAGATTAAGACGAGGGTTTTTTCGATGTAGCTACAGTATAGTAAGATAATTTATCTGCCTAATCCATTCTTTGTAGATGCTGCTTTTATTGTAGTTTAGCTGTGTCCGAAGTGCTTTCACAAATTCTAATTTACTTATAAGACTCTTTTATATATTATCAGATTACTTTGGATGAAATACGTAATGCCAACGCATTCAATACAGATTGTGCTAATGGGCTTGTTAATTCCTCTAAGCAAGGCCTTTTCGATCCACGTCTTTCTCTCTTTGGCTACACCAATGAAACCGTTAATATGTTGTTGGTGCCCATGTTCAAGAACAAGTAAGTTATTGTTAATTATATGTGAGATAAATGAAAATGGATTAAGGAAATTGGTTCGCTTTTGCACTTTTAGAAAAGAAGCTCTTGGTTCTATGGGCAATGATGCCCCTTTGGCTTGCCTCTCAACATTCCAACCATTACCTTATGAGTATTTCAAGCAACTGTTTGCTCAAGTTACAAATCCTCCTATTGATCCTTTCCGCGAAAAAGTAGTTATGTCCATGCAATGTCCTATAGGTCCTGAAGCGAATCTCTTGAAACCATCTGTCGAACAAGTACATCGTATTTGGCTTCCTAATCCTATTTTGAGCATTCCTGATACCAATCTTTTGAAAAATAATACACATCGTGATTGGAAGACTAAACTGCTGGATATAACATTCCCATTTTCTGAAGGCGTGCAAGGCTATATTGATTGCATTGATCGTACATGCCGTGAAGGTGCTAAAGCAGCCAATTCGGGTTATCAGCTTTTAGTCATTTCGGATCGTAATGTAGGTGAAGGTCGAGCTCCCATTTCAGCTTTGGTAGCTCTAGGGGCGTTGCATCATTACTTAATAGAAACGTATCAGCGCATGAAAGTCGGAATTATTGTAGAGACTGCAGAGGCGCGTGAAGTTCATCATATATGCGTATTGCTGGGATATGGTGCTGATGCTATATGCCCTTATTTAGCGTTCGAATTGGCCCAGAGTCTACGCAATGATTGCGTTATTAGCCCTGACGTTACAGATAAACAAATCTACATAGCTTACGCTCAAGCTACCGATACGGGTATTGCCAAAGTTATGGCCAAAATGGGTATAAGCACGTTGCAATCATATAAAAGTGCTCAAATTTTTGAAGCCGTCGGCTTGGGCGACGAAGTCATTAGCAAATGTTTTCGCGGCACTCCGTCACGTATTGGAGGCGTTACTTTAAACATATTGGCTAGAGAAAGTTTAGACCGTTACGATATGACGTATTGTAAGGTTTCTCCGGACACACGTATCCTACGCAATCCCGGCCAGTACCACTGGCGTAGCGGTGGAGAAGCTCACATTAATGAGCCGGCGTCCATAGCAAGCCTACAAGAGGCAACCATAAATAATAATTTAAATGCATTTGAAGCCTTTAAAGCTAGCACATTGGATAGCGTACGTAAATGTGCTCTAAGAGGACAACTAGAATTTGTGAACAATCGAGAAAAAATTGACCTATCTGAAGTAGAATCGGCAAGTGAGATAGTCAAACGGTAAGTGAATGGAAAATTGTGAAATGGAATTGAAGATATTAATATATTTTTCTATTAGGTTTGCTACGGGAGCTATGAGCTTTGGTAGTATTTCTTTAGAAGCTCATCAAACTTTAGCCGTAACTATGAATCGCATTGGTGGTAAAAGTAATACGGGTGAGGGTGGTGAAAATGCAGATCGTTATCTAAGTGAGTTAAAAAAAAAGTTTTGCTAGAGTAGAGAGGAAGTAGTTTAAATTGCCGCAATTTTACAGATCAAGATCCCGAGAATAGCCGACGATCGGCAATTAAGCAAGTTGCTTCGGGACGCTTTGGTGTTACTGCATCTTATCTGGCCAATGCTGACGATTT